AGCTTCAAGCAGCTTTTTTTGTTGCTTACATTTTGGTATAGACCAACAAAGAACTAAGACGACCAAGACGGACAGCACTAGCTAGAGAATTTTTTATTGTTGCAACTCGCACCAGTTACGAAAATCTGGATGACCCGCGCATTTAGAATGTTCGAGGCAAAAATATAGATGGAAATCAGGCTGGAAAGCATCACAAGTTGTCACAGGCACTTATTTAGCCAGTCTGCCTGTGAACGTCGATTTCATCACTATTCTTGCCCTGGACTAGCACCGTAATCACAAAGTCACTAAACGCTTGTGCTTGATTGAGAGACACTGCATTTGGTGCAGAACGTAGAACGTAGTTTTCTTCCTGCTCTGGACACGTCTTAGGATGAGCAAAATGAGTCGTGACAATAAATTTGAAGGATGTATTTTCGGCCACAAAATTGTATTTAATTACAATTGTATTTGAAATACCCATGTTTTAGTATTTAAATACACACATCAAATACATTACCCAATTTGTAATTAAATACAAATTCAAAATACACAAAGTATTTGAAATATGTATTTCAAATACTTGTATTTGAAATACTGCCCATCCCAGACAACTACTAACCGTGCATTTGGACTAGAGCACATAAGTAGACTGGCCAAATGCAAAATCCTCTATTTTATGTTATCGTAAAGTCCACTTGTTTTAGCGGGCGACAGGCTCCGCCCATTGGCCAAACTCTCCCAGTATACAGGGCTCCGAGGAAGGGCAGGGCCGTATGTAGAGAGAGTCTGGTCAATGGGAGGAGCCGGGGGGACCCAGGATGAAGCGATGAAAGCGACGGCACCGCCAGTGCTGCATATAATTGTAAGAGATTGATGGAAAAGGGGAGTTTCAAGGTGCTGAGTGCATTTACTGAGCTAGGAAAGATGACATTGACGCGAAAAATATCCTGAAACATGAAGCAAAACTGCAAACGTGAGATGCGCGTTTAGGGTTTTACTGTCCACTCCGTCGTGGCTGCGGCCGTGAGTGTAATCAAAAGAAAGACTGAGTGCATTCCGAATGTTGCCGTGACGACAACGTCACGTGTGTTGCCTTTTCAGTTGCGAAGAGTCACAAATTTCAACAGCATGCTGAAATGAAATACTTGAATACATCCTTGCCTAGAAATTGTGACTGGAGAGTATTTGCTAAGCTCATTGTCTCCGCTAGGGGAATATTTGTGGCTAGTGGTTGGTCACAAGAGCTGCCTATCATCGCACCCAAAGTCATCGAAACAATTTCGGTCAATGACGTGCCTTTATTTTTGCCCTATTCTTACCCCCAATCAATTACCAAACACTCTACATATATGGCCCTGCCCTTCCACAGAGCCGTATATTGAGAAAGTCTGGTGAAAGCGGCGGCGCCACCAGCGCAGCATATTCCCCGTGATGAACTTGCGAGTAGGAATGAGCTGGAATGACCTTGAAGGATTCGTGTAGCGCGGCGCAAGTATTTTTACAGCTGTTTATGGCTATGGTTCCGTGGATTTTTCGTGTATGTCAACAGAAATCGCAGCGCACTCTCTTTGCCGTCGTTCCAAGCGCTCGCGTGCCTAGTTCCTTCTGCTATCCCAAGATGGCGGTCCCGTCGTGCGTGTCCAGTAGGGAGGCTCTAGTGAGGGTGGGTGCAACTCAAAACCTGGAGAGCGTTTGCAATTTAATGGCGGCGCCTGAGAGAGAGGATTCGGAAAAGGATATGCGCCAATGTTGCCTGCAAGAGAGCAGACGCTCGCTCTGTTGCAACTCTAATGCTCCATGCGCCTTTCCTCCTCTCGCCTCCCATTGCAAGCAACAGACGCCTTGGCGCAGCCTCTCTCGCTCCGAGAATTGCAAACGTCGAGAGGAGAAAGCAGGGTTGCCAGACAAGCAGCAACGTCCAAGATGGCGGAATTTACCATTTTTCGCGTTGAACAAATACTTAACCTATCGCAACAAAACTGGTGGCTATGAAAAAGTAATCATTTATACCTTGTGTAAATTATTCAAGCACCTTAATGGGCTTTTATGACCCGAGTTAGGAAAGAAAACGACCCTTTGCCCCATAGACTCCCAGCAAAATTTAGCAATTAAATGGCGTCCATGTCCTGTGATCCCCGACCTAGAAGTTGCACCCACCCTCACTTGAGCCTCCCAAGTGTCCAGTTTCCTCCGTTTCCTCGGGGCACCGAAAGACAAGTTGCCATTCTCCATTTTTAATTCTCTTCTCTCGTCGTAATGGGGAGGCCACGTATAGTCCAGACTTGCGAAGAGCAACGGCGGGAACGACAATGAGAATGTCAGTTGTGGCGGCGGGCGGCAAATAGCGCCATCTGTGCCGTGTGCTAAACAGCTTCGCTGGTCATATACCTTCACAGAGTGGAATGGCTTGTAATTTTTTATATCTGGATGTGGCTCATAGGACATGCATGTATAATTGTAAGAGACTGTTGGAAAAGGGGCGTTTCAAGGCGCTGACTGCGTTTACTGAGCCAGGGAAGGTGACATTGACAAGAAAAATTTCCTGAAACATGGCGCGAAACTGAGAATGTGGGGTGCATGTTCGGGGCTTGGGCCAAAACTCCCATGGAGCCCAACCCACTGTTTTTACTGTCCACTCTTATGGCAGAGCCTGCTGCCTGAAGAAAATCAAATTAAAGACTGAGTGCGTTCTGAATGTCGCCGTGACAATGTCACATGCGTTGCCCTTTTAGTTACGAAGAGTTGCAAATTTCAACTCTACAGTACTAAAATAAAATACTTGAATACAACCTTAGCTAGAAATTGTGATTGGAGGGCATTTGTTAAGCTCACTGCCTCTGCTAGGGGAATATTTGTGGCTAGTGGTTGGTCACGAGAGCTGTTAATCATTGCGCCCAAGGTCACTGAAACAACTTCGGCCAATGACGTGCCCTTATTTTCACCCTATTCTTACCAATTAATGACCAAACTCTCTACATATATGGCTCTGCCCTTCTTCCTCCTCCGACACCCTCTGGTGTTGATCTTTTGATATCAATCTTAGTAGAGAAGTCAGCAACGTATGAATGTAATGCTTGGTTTTTAGGATGCTTAGAATCTATGGATCAAGTTATGACCACAAATAGACTATTGCAGAAAGTGGTTTGGTGCCCCTTTAATATTCAGACGTTGTTGACGCTACGGGCTGATGCGACCAATCGGACAGCGCCAAAAGCACACCATCATGGTACTCGTCATGGTCATGTGCGTGTTCTATCATCGCTAGACCAATCATGTACAGGGAAGGCCTGGCCTAGTGACTTGCACTTTTCACGCTGCTCGATTGGTTCATTAGCTCATAGCGTCGGCTGCGTCTGGACTTGAGACTGGTTCACACACTTGCACGAGTCCGACCCGAGTGCGACTGCAACAGCTTGTGACACATGGGTTGCTATGGCAACAGCTGCGTCGGCTCCGACAAAACGGAATAAAAACCAGTTTCGCTGGAGCCGACGCAGCTGTTGCACTAGCAAGTAGCAACCCGTTGCAGTTGCTTTTGGGTCAGACTCGTACAACTGTGTGAATTGCCCTTTAATATAGTAGCTTGACTGCAGTGGCAAAAGTGGAGAATTTCTGAAAAATCAGTGGATGGAATGATTTCCAGTACAAGGTGTGCAGAGTACCGGTTATTGTACAACTACTTGCGGTCTCCTTATTTTCCCCCATACATCTCAAAGACAATGCATTATGTGGGAAATTGAGACAAACATACATATATGCAAATTTATAAAAAAAAAAAGCTCTTTGTAAGGATTGGCGAGATGAGCATCGCCAGTAGGAGCTATTGGCGATGCTCATCTCACCAATCCTTACAAAGAGCTTTTGCACTTCTACAGTAATAGCCAGCCATTTTATACAGGATGTTTAAATTTAATTCAAACAGATTTATTAAGAAAATAAATAAAGCCACGAAAGGTAGATGCAGTCTGTATAGGTGAGTTATAAAACTAGGTGGACATAATATAGAGAGCTAATAGTCACGATCGGTAGGATCCTTAACTATAATTTGTGAAATAACTTTTTAATTTGTGAAAATACACAGATGGTTCTTATCAGAAACTTGCTGAGCATCATCTAAAGCCACTAAATCAGTAAATGTTATGGAGATTTGAAGCATGTGATAGGTGAGGGGGCGGCTAGTTTCCACTCATGCCAGAAGTGCAGTGCTGGCGGTCCGAAAACACATGGGAAATTTTCATCTGTGCTTTCGAACTGCCTGTTGCATGAGTGGAAATTTTAGCGTGCTTACCGCATTATTCAAATCTTTCTGAAATTGACTGATTTACTGGTTTTTTATAGTGCTCAGCAAGTTTGTAATGGGAACCATGTTTATTTTCACTAATTAACAGATTTTAGGTAATTATCTGACTTAATGTGACTATTAGCCCCCTCTCTTATGTACCCTGGCGGTATAACTCGCCTACGCTGCATTAGTGTACCTTTCATGGCTTCGTTTTAATAAATCTATTAAAATTAAAATCAGACACCCTGTAAATTAGCATATTCAAATGGCATACGAAATTCCCACTTGGTTATTCGAGCCAGTTTTGAATTTCAAGCAATTTCGAGGCTAGCAATTGTAGATATCCCATGCATACCTGCAAAGTCTACCACTGATTACCCGGGAGACTTCCAAATTTTGTATGGTTGTACGATTGACAGAAAAATCTCCTGAAAAATGCAAATTATCCCCCCCACACAACACACACTTACACAAGGAGTTTTTGCCATCGCAACAGACGGCAGCACTGATAGCGAGGACCAGCTGTATCTCGCTAACATGAGCAGTGCAATACAAATGTAATGAAGCTGTCTTCATGTATATTCATTGTCAAGATTTCTTTTGAAAAAACTGCTAAGCCGGGGGGGGGGGGGGGGGCCGCGGCTTGGAAAATGCTTTGGATTTGGTTTCTCCAAACTTGGCAGGTATGCCCACGGTTTAAGCTTATAATGAAGTCAGTCTAAAGGAGGGATCCACATACAATGGAATATGGGAAGTTTATTTGGATGGAAAAAGAGCACCTCTTGAAGTTAAGGGTTCAAAGCAGCAGCCAGCTCGCCAGCCTCGTCCAGCTCCTAAAGTAAAGTTGCAACTTTGTGTCACATAGTGTATGCAACATACTGGGGACAAATGGAACTCCATGCTAACACTGAAGCTCCGAAGTCACATTTAAGGGCAATACAAGAAAGTACATGACTTTAGCAATGTTACATTTCTACCTTGTTTTAAGCAAAGATAACTTGACAGCAGAGGCCGGGAACATAAACTACGCTATGTGTACGCACAAATACCGAAGACAGGTGTACGCAATCTACAAAGGGCCGTTTGTTCACCTTTATGATGTCCAGACCACCTACGAGGGATCCCTTGGCATACACCTGAGGGTATGTGGGCCAGTTGGAGTACTTCTTCAGTCCTTGTCGCACTTCCTCGTCCGTCAGGATGTCAAAGCTGTCGAAGGAAACCCTGGAAAGGACCGGAAGGTGAACTCCGAAAGCTGTGCCACAGTGGCAGTGCTTCTTACTGGGTTCGCTTGAAGATGTCCATCAGGGTCCTGCTGAAACCACAACGAGGAGCTTCGGGGCTCCCCTTCATGAACACCATGACTGGTGCCTTGCGAATCAGTTGCTCCAGCCTGGAACAAGATAGATGCTCAACTCTGCAGCACCGTGTGCTACATGATCTATTCAAATCGGAACCCATTCACAGGTTACTAGTAAACTATTTGAAACACGGCTTTATTTCCTAAATCATGAGTTTTCAAGCTTCTGGGTGTTAAAGAACCCCTAGCAACCTTGAAAGGCATTTGACCAATTTACCTGATCGCAACATTGCCCCGATAAAACGGTCCTCAACCTTACCAACTTTGTTAGCAAGATACAGGGTGTTTTCTTGAGGCTTTGCAGATTTTTTTTTTTTTAACAGCCGTGACAGCTACACCATACCTGCCAAGTTCGGAGATCCCGGAGAATTTCTAAGGAAGGGGGGGGGGGGGGTTGCAGTTTTTAAGAAGAAATATTGATAACAAATTTACATGAAGACAACTTCATTACACTTACAGTGTGTCACAAAAAAATATTTACACATTCTTTTTTAGCGCAAAAATAAGCTAGGCATTGCCGAACGCTCATTCTTCACCCAAAGTTAGCGCTGGAGGTCACAACCAGATGCCAAAGTTTCAGCCCGATCGATACCTTATTCAAAAGTTACAAGTGATTTTCTTAAAATTTCAATGAAAAAATGGCAGCCGACGGGGTTTTCGAATACATGGGGCTCTATGGCACCAGAAACCGAAAACGGGCAAAAATGGGCTCCATTTTCCCATTGAAATTTTCAGAAAATCACTTAACTTTTGAATAAGGTATCGGATCGGGGCGAAACTTTGGCCTCTGGTTGTGACCTCTAGCGCTATCTTTAAACGGAAAATGAGCGTTCGGCGATGCCTAGTTTAGTTTTCCGGTGAAAAAAAAACCCTGTAAATTTTTTTTGGTGACACCCTGTATATTGGACTGCCTATTGCAGAAGTGGCAACTTTAGTGCACTATTGCACTTCCCACGCACTCAGTCTTTCTAAAATTGACTGACTTGGTGCTTTTCGATGCAGCTCGGCATGTTTCAAATTAGAACCATGTGCTTATTTTGATTAATTAAAAAAGTTAATTACCAAGTATTAATTCATTATTTGACTTATTGCGACGATTAGCCCTCTATGCTATGTCCCCCTGGCCGCATAATTTATTTGCACAGAGCACGTTAGTGTACCTTTCACGGCTTTTTTTACAAGAAATCTGTAAAACCTCAAAATAAAGCACCCCGTATTACACAGTCCAGGCAAGAGGATAGGGGCGTTTGGTTCATAAAAACATAGCCATGTATAGCTCAGCTGTGCTTCACCTTTAACCAAGTGGAGAACACAGTTTATCAAATGATAAGGATAATGGGAAGAATTGGACATTTGAGAAACCCCTGAGAATATCCCAGAGAAGCTCAGTGCAGTGGTGGAACTGACAAATGGTGATTTGGAGCAGCTCTTGCAGAAGGGAACAATGAGTTTTGGAGCAGACAATTTTGAGTTTTCATGTAAAAAAAATGACCACATCTCCACGTGGTGAATGATGTTGATTGGGGCGAAGCTCTGGTGGTGTTGACGATACTGATGTTTTGAGCATTTGACCGCAGTGCTCTCTCGTCTATAAACGTTGAGCCAATGCATGCAAAGTTTAACGCAATTATACGCATTTGACCGCAGCGCCCTCTCCTGTATAGACGTTGAGCGGCTACATGCAATGTTTCATCCATGACATTCCCCGCTCTTGAGTTACTACCACATCTCAGAGCCCCCTACTCGTCCCGCAGTCGTGGCCGAGTGGTTAAGGCGATGGACTAGAAATTCATTGGGGTCTCCCCGCACAGATTCGAATCCTGTCGACTGCGCAAACATTTTTTTCTTTTTTTTAAGAAGACAGATGGGATGGCAATCGATGTGAGCACGGACGCCGGACAAGGCTGGACCCCAAGGAGTTTCGCCCCTAAAAATCTTATACAATCTCTTTAAAAGCTAGCCTGTAGAACTTCAGTTGTTGGAGTGTTAAGAGACTATTTAAAGGGGCCCTGCAATCATATTTAAGCGTCTATCTTTTTTGCGGTTTCCACGTCCCTCGGGGTTCGGGTAAGCCAAAGAGAGTAATTAAATATCAGTGCGTAATATTTTAACCCGACGACGCGGAAATCTCCCCCACCTACGGGGGCGACCCGCGGTGCCAAAAGCGCGTGATATGCGACGTCTTTGGTCCTGGGCTTACTACTGGTCAGAGCTGCTAAAAGTTCCGTTTTTGTCGAAATACAAAATATAAGTGGTGCGAACCGTTTCAATTATTTATAAAAGTAGTTTTTGTTCACTATTTTAGACCAGAAAAGAAACAAATGCAGTTTAGAAAGTACGGAAACAAGAAATGACCCGTCGACATACCCGCCACCAAGCGGTGGAAAAGGCGGCGCATACTAGAAAGGTGTAGTGGGATCAGGCACCAACAAGCGGCGAGCGTAGAAAGGTCTCAAATGTATGCGGCGGCGCTGCGGTCATAAGGACTGGAGGATCCGAGCGGTTCCGAGTATTCCCAAGGCCTTCGGCGAGCAGCTTTGGCTTGCTGTTTGGCCTTTTGGCGGTATGGCAGCGCGAAGTGGCTCCCGTTCTGAACTGATCTTTACCTTGTGTTTGCTGTCGTTTGTGGCCAATGAAGTGTCGCGCCGAATTAGTGTTTAATTGCGCAGCAAATGCAATGCGAGCCGCCCTGGTTGCCCGCTTCATACAACCTAGCCAGAACATGCTTTAGTGGCACCCTCTCGAGCCATCGACACGGAGTGCGGCAGCCGTGACCACTCACTGAGCTCACTACCCCTCCTCTAGTTCAAGGCCACTCTAGCAACCAAAGACGTCATAAAGAAGGTTATTTTTTGCTTTTTTTTGTAATTTTAATTTGCCTATAACTTTTAAAATAAAGCGAAATTCGAGAAAAGAAAAGTTTAATTAAGTTACGAAGTTCAGTGCACTCAGGTTCAGTGCAAATTAAAAATCAGTAAAACCTATTAAGAGTACCGATGGCGTCTTCGGTCTGTGTTTAACGTAAAAAAATATGTTTTTGGCTACTTTGTAGGGTTTGTATCACGGTGAGGTAATTGTTGCGAGTTCGACGTCAAACAGACACTTTTGTGTTGAATCTGTCTCACGGGGCCCTAGCTCGTATTGAACCTGCTACTGTTCTTAGAGCAGCTAAGCAGAGCACATAGCTACTCTAACTGATCACAATGAATAGCGCTGCCTATTCATGCAATCGATGCGAGCACTGTTCGCACAAAAACCGATCTCTTTGTTAGGCACATGAAAATAATGAATTTTTTGTTTGAAGCAAATTCAAAGTGATTAGTGGTTTGGGCCAAATATTTTTAATAGAATATTGAATAGTTGCTGTGCCTTTCTCCATGCCTTTCACTACTGTTACACCATGCTTAAACAAAAATTCGAGTGAACTTGCAAAGGTTGTTTTCAAGCTTCGAATTGCCCACTTATGAGCAAAGTTAATAATCTAGCAATATTTATAGACTGTGGCCTCAGACAGTAAAATGCCTACATTAGGATGGCAAGTAAATAACAGATTTGACATAAAATTAAACCTATAAGGGAGCCCCCACCATACCTAATTGAGGGGATTTATAAATCTTCCTACATGAAAATATTTTCTTAAATTCTGAATTAAAACAAAACAAGTACAAGTAATGAACACAGGCTGTTTAAACATTGCTGCCTAAGATACACCCTTGCATAAAAGTCACAATATAAATATTAACAATCACAACATTTTCTTTCTTTTATTATGCTAGGCATGCACGTGCGTTATACCGCTTTGAAGGTGTGCTTTTCGCCTAAGCGCGCGGCTGCGCTGCGGCAAAGCGAGTCGAGAGATTGCGGTGTCAGCTCGACGGGTATTGCTTCTCCTCAGTGCATTGGTACTTGAGAAGAGCACTCAAGGGGGCTTATCCGCCGCGATCAACATTTAGAAAAGTATGAATATTGCAGTTAATTTTGAAGCAAATATCAAATAGCGTGTAATTTGAAACTAGCATTTGATAATTTGAATATTTGCACAGCCCTACTCTTTGCACATAGTACTCAGGCATCCAAAAAAACAACTGCATTTTCTTCATTTTCAGTGGCATCGCCAAGAATGCCACGTGCCAGACACTTTCAGCTCCCTTTTGGCGCAGACATGGCGCAAATTGTGCACAAATACAACCTTTGAAGCAGTATGTAGCAGGGTTTTCTTTCTGGCACAATTTGGCACAGCAGTTCCAGCACTGCCACTGTTTCTAGGTTTCCAAGTTTATGCCGCAGATTCCGCTGCACTAGTACTTTTGACAGCAATGTTTTAGCTGTTCAAGCAAAAAGTGAAACAAACTAGGGATTCAGCATTTGGACTAATGGGGTCACACACTACCTCCGAGTCAGATCTTGCTGCGAGCAGAGTTCGGCCAGACGACCACTTTCAGCCAGCTTCCTCATCTCGTCAATGCCGCCAACAAACTCATTATCAACAAAGAGCAAAGGGTAGCAACTTGCAGGCTTGCGTGCAATGTACTCGAGCAGTTCTGAAAAGGAAAACTGATGTCATGGCGGACAAGCGCCGCATTTGATCAAAAGGTCACGGCACTCACGCTGATGCAGAGCAGCATTGCTCGTGATGTTGAAGTGATGGTATTGAATGCCAAGCTTTTTCAAGAGGCTCACTGCCTCGGTGTTTTGTGCTGTGACAACAAAGTAGTCCCAACAAGTTGACTCATAGATAACATCAATAAAAGAAAAAAGTTCTAACCTCCAGTGGGTGCGTCAGGAGTACCTTCCATGATTAGCATGCAAGGTGCTTGTCCCGTGATGGCTCGTAGCTCCTTCAACAACTCCTGCAAGGTTTGTTTGCTGAGAACAGTACAAGCACCAAGGGCGCATGTCAACCTGCCTGTTTCTTGTTTGACGCAAGTGGAGGCAGGTCAACTCGACTCTGGAGGAGCTTTAGCTTGCGCACCAGCTCGGGCATGTTGACGCCTTCAACCTTCTCGATGCGCTCTGCATTCTGTGGTAGTTTCAAATGTTAGCTCTCTGCATAGTCAAAGCATGCATCACATATTCTTGGGTGCCAATTTTCAGATAACACTCCTTTTTACCTTACAACGAACCGCAGCAAATGCTATGAGCCATCCCAGTCAATCCAGTGCAGCGATCATATCACATGATATGCTCACATGCGTTGTTGTTCCAATCCCAAAGGTCACGTGACACTTGCACAACATTAGATTGGTTTTCATGGCTCATAGTGTTGTCTGCGGTTCGTCGTAAAGTGGAACGGAGTATAGAGGCTGTGATCATAAAAGATGGCATGTGCTATGATTCCTCTGGTAAAAGAACTTTAGTGTCCTGTAGTCTGATTGAAGAAAGAGTAAGTAAACAGGCAAGCTGGTTGATATTACACATTTTTGAAAAAACCGGAGATGACGTACGAAGAAGAGGACAAACACAAAATGTCTCAAATGCAGGTACTAAACTTTATTGACGCACCCATTTATATATCATCTCACACACACTCGCCTCCTGGAACTCACACGTCTAGGTGACTTTCCACCATGGTACAAGTATACGTTGTACCGTGGAGGAAGGTCACAAAGTTGTCTGCAAATTTGGGGAGACGAGTATGCAAGAGATTATATAAACGGGTGTGTCAATAAAGTTTAGTAGCTGCGTTTGAAACGTTTTGTGTTTATACTCTCCTTCGTCCGTTGTCTCCGTTTTTTTTTTTTTTCTTTCAAAAATGTGTTCCATAGTCCCTTTCTGTTTATACCACCTTTTAAATCCATTAATGGGAATTCCATGGGAATCAACACACTTCAGTCAAGTGACTTGACTAAAGTGGACTTAAGTCACCATTATTGAGGACTAAGAAGTTCAACAGCCCACACTCTGGTTGATGACACCCAAATGAACAAGATCCAAGATATGGCTCTTACCATTAAGATGACAAATGATGGCACAGAGGCAACTCCATACTTGAGGCTCAGTTCTTGCACCTGCTCTGCATCCACCTGCAAGCCAATGGGCACAGCGTTCACCAATGTCGTCTCGAACCAGTGCAGTTGAACACCACCTTATAGAAAGACGTCCGATCTAGCTCCTTGTCTTTCACCAGGTCGGGCATCAGGTCATCTACCTGTTTGCACTGCGGAGCCCAGTCCGCACGGAAGTACAGCACAACCAACTTATCACTGTAAAAGAATAAGAATACAACCATAGGGCCCCGTGAATCACCTAAAGCATTGTGATATGCAAAAAGTGTTTTTTAGCCAGTGAACGACTGAGAACATGAGGTAAACACAAGAAGGAATCGGAATAAAGACTACTGCTTTTTCTCCTCGCTCTGACAATATCAGCTCATATTTTAAGGGGTTCCCATTAAAATGCTGTACCTTGATGTCTTCATGTACCCCCCCCCCCCCCCCCCCCAATCCTCCCCTTTTCTTTGTTCTAGAATGTTGTTTATTTGCCACGTCGGCGGTTTTGGCGCTAAGAGAACTCTATTGCATTGCAATATAATTTAAGAAAGAAAGAAAAAAAAAACTACATGAGCAAGCAATAAGTAGGAATATCTATTGCTTTTTATTTGGCTTGGCGCCGTAGAAGTAGCCCATAGCAAGGGGCCGGCAATTCTACTTAAAGGAGCGGTGCAACAATATTCAATTGGAATGTTTTTCACTTGACATGAGCTTACTGGCACACCTGGGGTGCTATGTTGCGCTTTTTGGACTCCCAGGAGACTAGGAAGAGGGAAGTGACACCAACGACACAGCAAACGCAGATTGGGTGTTGATTTCGTTTTCTTCTGTCAACATCCAATCTCCGTTTGCTGTGTCGTTGACGTCACTTCCCTCTTCCTAGTCTCCTGGGAGTCCAAAAAGCGCAACATAGCACCCCTGGGACTCAAGGATACTCACACGCAACGCCACTGGCCAATTACACCGCAACAAAGGAGTTGTTGCGGTGTAATTTCAAGGACAAAAGCGATCATTTTCATTCAATCTCTCCTTTGCAAAATTTGATGACGTAACGTGGGGATCGCAGTACACCCAAGTGACGATATTTGAATGCGGTTCATAGATTGGATCCGAGCATTGCGTGGGCACTCGACTTGGGCTCGTGATAATTGCTAGCTCAAGAAGCGTTCGGGTAGTGACCCGTGTCCAATCGCTGCAACGACAACAACAGCCGAGCCATAACAATGTCTGGAACTCGGCGCGTGTCCTGCGCTTTGCCAACCCCAGCGCGTGGCTATGATCAACACTGGCGGCATATAATCGGCTCCAGATCACGTGGCCGCTTGTTCTGGCTGCGAGTTGAGGGGGCGAACGCTGCTCGTTTTTCTTTAATTTTTTTCTGGGACTTCTATTACGTGGGGTGAAAAACGAACGCGTGTTTCATAGGTCATTAACGGTAGGGATCCGTTTTAAGCGGTATTTGCGCAAGGTACAAAAATTGTTGCATCGCTCCTTTAAGTACAGGGTGTCACAAAAGAAAATTTACACGGGCTTTTTGACCGCAAAAAAAAACTAGGCATCGCCGAACTCCAATTCTCCGCCCAAAGGTAGAGCTACAGGTCACAACCAGATGCCAAAGTTTCAGCCCGATCCGATAACTTAATCAAAAGTTATAAGTGATTTTCTGAAAAGTTCAATGGGAAAATGGAGCCCATTTTTGCCTGTTTTCGGTTTCTGGTGCCATAGAGCCACATGTGTTTGAAAACTCCGTCAGCCGCCATTTTCCCATTGAAATTTTCAGAAAATCACTTATAACTTTTGATTAAGTTATCGGATCAGGCTGAAACTTTGGCAATTGGTTGTGACCTCTAGCGCTACCTTTGGGCGGAGAATGAGCCTTCGGCGATGCCTACTTTATTTTTGCGGTAAAAAAGACCGTGTAAATTTTCTTTTGTGACACCCTGTATGTGAAGACGGTGTTCGTAGATACGAGTATGCTAGAGATGGGCTAACTGGGAAGGAGCGTCCTAGAGCGAATACGGGGGCGATAAGCCACATCAGGGACAAAAGATACTTTGGGGGAGCAGATCACTGCAGCTCAATAGAGCCTGCCGGACCTTGCTTCCGTGGTCGAGAGAGTGCCCGCGCTCGCTCGAGCACGTGTTCACGTTGTTTAACACCAGAATCTCTTGAACCGGCGACCTTCTGAAATGGTTCAAAGAACGTACCTAGTTTTCGAGGCTATTTCGTCTAGCTCCTCCTTCGAAGACACAGCTCGAAGACCTTCCATGGTTTGTTTTTGTTCGAAGCAATATTTCTTGTACGATTTTTGGGCAGTGTCTGCGATTTAGCGATTAAGTCTCTTCCCTGCACGCACTGCAGTACGGTGTACGGTGGCGCAGCTACAGTGGCTCCGGTGTCAGCGGAGACGGCGGAGAAGCAAGCGGCCTTTGTTGGATAGTAGTAGGATTGGATTGGCTTGATTACCTTCTTCAGCAGGCTTGGAAGAAAGCTTTTTACACTTCTTCCGTTTATTTCAACTTTTTATTACACAAAAATTTACTGGCATTTCTGTTCCATCTAAAATTGTAGAATGAAACGTTACTTTTATAAAATTTGAATTTATAAACTTGTCGACTTGCTATGAGAAGCTGGCGAGCCGCGAGCCGGCAACGACGAGCGTCATGGCGTCGGACGGTGGAGGGAAAAGTGATGCGCCTCCGGTGGGAGGGAATTCGATGAAGAAAGCCCGTGTGTTTGATTTTAACGCTATTTTCGAAGAAGCAAGGAAGACCGCTATTGACCGGAACAAGGACGTACACAAAATCGAAGGCTCTGAAGCAAACGACGACAGCCCAAAAGACAGCAGTGCTACACCATCCGACGACAAGCCAGCCTCGCCTCTGCCCGAGCAGTCTACGAGCCTGGCTCCCGCAGCCGACGACGACGACGACAGCAGCGACGACGAACTGGTAGGCCCCCCAGTATCTCTCTCTGCGGACCGGACCAATGACGACGACGAGGAAGGCCCGCCGTCGGACGACGAAGCGGCCGCCAAGTACCGGCCAATCCCACTCCAAGACGAGCTCGTCCTCCGCCACGGCACCAAGATCGTTTCCGCGCTCGCGTTGGATCCCAACGGTGCGCGGCTGGTGACCGGAGGCTACGACTTCGACGTGACACTATTCGACTTTGCGGGCATGGACGCGTCGCTGCAGCCCTTCCGTAGCCTGCGACCATGCGAGTGCCACCAGATCCGCAACCTCGAGTACAGCTGCACGGGTGACACCATCCTCGTCGTGTCCGGCAACGCGCAGGCCAAGGTTCTCGATCGCGACGGCTTCGAGGTGATGGAGTGCGTCAAGGGGGATCAGTACATCACGGACATGGCGCGCACGAAAGGTCACGTAGCCATGCTCAACTACGGCTGCTGGCACCCGCGCACCCGAGAGGACTTCCTCACCTGCTCCAACGACGGCACGCTGCGGTTGTGGAACGTGCAGCAGCCCCTGCGTCACAAGGCGCTCGTCAAGACGAAGCAGCAGGGCGGTCTGCGCGCCATCCCGTCCACGTGCCGGTTCAGCCGCGACGGGCAGCTGCTGGTGGCGGGCTGCCAGGACGGCTCACTCCAGTTCTGGGACCAGCGACGCACGCTGGTGCACCCGAGTCAGGCGCTGCGCGACGCCCACCGCCGCGGCTCGGACATCTCGTGCGTGGCTTTCTCGCAGGACGGCCGGCAGCTGGCCTCGCGCGGCTGCGACGACACGCTCAAACTGTGGGACCTCCGCGCGGCCCGGGCTGCGCCCCTCCACGCCTTCGAGGGCCTGGACAACCTGTACCCGGGCACGGATTGCGGCTTCAGTCCGGACGACAGGCTCCTGTACACAGCCACCTCTAACGCGGAAGGCGTAGGGGAGCTCGTGTTCTTCGAGCGGGACACCTTGCGCCAAGTGCTGCGCCGCCGGGAACCGGCCCCCGTGGCGCGCCTCCTCTGGCACCCTCGGCTGAACCAGCTGCTCGTTGGCCTGTCCAGCGGCGAGCTCAGGCTGCACTACGACCCGGCCCACAGTCACCACGGCGCCATGCTGTGCGCCTCCAAGCTGCCCCGCGTCCGCGCCGCGCCCCACGAGCTCACCCAGGCCCAGGTTCTGACGCCCCACGCACTGCCGCTGTTCCGCGAGGAGCGGCCGCGCAGCACGCGCAAGCGGCTTGAGAAGGCCCGCAAGGACCCCGTCCTGTCGCGGAGGCCCGAGCTCCCCGTCACCGGGCCTGGGCAGGGCGGACGCATCGCGTCGGCCGGCAACACGCTCTCCTCGTACATCGTGCGCAACCTGGGCATCACCAAACGCGTCGACGACAACGTGGACCCCCGGGAGGCCATCCTCAAGTACGCCAAGGAGGCCGCCGACAAGCCCTACTGGGTGACGCCGGCCTACGCCTCGACGCAGCCGCGCCCCATCTTCCAGCAGCACGAAGAGGAGCCCACGCCTGCCAAGAAGCCCAAGCAGGCTTGAACTTGCTGCCACCTGTGTGCCGTCCTGGCTTCTCTGGAATGCTTCGGAAAGCAGCAGTCACCATACATTGCTGCAGTTGGGTCACGGCATAGACGCGATTTTTGTTTCCTTTGTACAAAAAAACATTTGACGCCGAGCTCTGGAGGCTGCTCTTGAAATAATGGTGAAGTCGCGCTGCCAACTGCGAACTGTACATTTGTGCGATATTACCCGAATTGTGAATGCGCTTCGGTCGAGGTACCGTCGGCAATCTATTCACTTTTTTTTTGCCAAACTATTATTAATTTTAAGTTAGCTGTCTTCATTCTAAAGTTGAGCTTCTTTATAAATCCTCCCCCATTGTAGCTGTTCCCTTACTTGTGGGGTATCACATAGTAGCTGTGATATGCATGCTTCAGTACAAAAGCTTTGTTCATTGTGGCGACTGTATAAAATGTGATTGCCAAAGCCGGAAGACTGCATTACGATGCCTTGAAACGGCTTCTAGCCCAGGAGCCGCAAGCAGCAGTGGTGGTAGCGTGAGCAAGCATGGTGTACTTAGTTGGCCACAGACGGCGAACCACAAAGGAGAGTACTTTGAATGTTGTATTTTACTCCGTTAAGAGCTATCCCCAGCAACTTTGTTTTTTGAGGTTCCTATGTCAAGGTTGTAAAGTTCATTCACTTGTGAAAAATACACAAATGTGGCATACCATTAGTATCATAATCTCGGTGCTGCTTGCCAATCAAAACCAACTGTCTGGTGGTTGAAGCAAAAGTGAAAGCTTTTATCAGGTATCTCCCAAACATTTTTTCATCTCTACACTGTTAATGTTTTGTATGGAGCTTGATCTATAGTCTTCAATTAAATTAAATTTTATCATTGGCTAAAGCCACCTGGATCATTGTGTATTTTTTTAGAAAAAGTGAAAAAATTGCCACCTTCACACAACAGTAGAGTTACTGTAATTTGCCTCTCGACTGGCCAATGGGTACCGGGTTTCTTCCAAACCTTTCAGAAGATTTAATCCATATTTGCAGACATGTATGCACTGCCTAAAATTTTTGCGCACAACTAGAACATCATTGTTGAATACCGATGGCAAGTTTGCTATTCCCCTGGTCTTTATATTTAATATGTTTCAAACTTCTCTTTGCCAGAAAATGGGTCAACTTTGTTCATAAGAAAACATTTCTTGTCAAACTAAGGATATTGTGCAACCTTTAAGCACAACTTTTGAAAAGTGCCACCTTTTTTTTTTTTTTTTTTCCTTGCAAAGGCAATTGTTTTTACATAAAAATGTTACCCTCCGTTCTTAACTGAAGCATCCTAAACTTTGTAGAGGAGAACAATGGCTTCCAACAGCTCCTATATAAGGCCCTGAACCTGGCAAATGCAAATAGGAATCACGAAAGTGTCTTTCAAGGGGCAGTAAACCAGTTTCTGCGATGGTCTATTCATGCATGGCCGATTTCTCCAAAATCGGTATGAAAGATTGAACCCCTCGGAGCTATCACAGACACTAGAGGGCGCCGTCGGATGAGAAGTAAAGCCTTTTGATAAAATTTGTGCTTTGCATTCCTTAAATGGGGGGGTGCAACGATTTTTGGACTTAGTCAGAAATTTGTGGAAGTTGCCCTCCGACACATCTGAAGTAAAGATAAGAAAACCAATTTCGCGTGCATGTCCTAGTTGTTCTGTAAAAAAAAAAAAAAAGATAAATATTAACATTCCTGGCACCCCTCAACTCACTCCCAGTCTTGAGGGTCACACCTGGTCCCCCTCCTAGTGACTTAATTCGGGGTGCCGTGTAGGTTCCCGTGTGCTTTCTACGAGGAAGCTTCCTCTCCCTCTCTCTGCTGACATTAGCGGGCGTTATGCTGCAGCTTAGAGCCGAGCAAAGTCACGTAAGCTTATCGCCGTAGTTCCTTCGGCTGCCACTCGCGGCTAAGTGGGGGAAAAAGCTTGACTAATGCTTTGTGATTATGCAGCGGAATCGCGACATTTTTTAACGAAGATGTTTTCTCTATCCGGACACGATAAACAACGTAAAAATGATGAGATGCAAATTCTTTTAATCGTTGCACCCCCCCCCCCCCCTCCCCCTTTAAAAGTACCGCCAACCATTGTCGAGCAAACACGCAAGACACGTGCTATGAGCGAGTTCTCCACCTCCGTTTGCTTCCAAGAGCCGCAGGGGGCACTGGCCTTCGGTGCATTTCACACTGCTTGTGAAACGTTAATACATCAAGGAATTTTAAGGACTTGGATGGATGGATGGATGGATGAATACGGCTGAGCCCTTTGGATCGGGCGGTAGCTTACGCCACCTAGCCATTTTGTTTCTCCTCGTCGGACAGCGCCCTCTGGTGTCAGCAATATTTCCGAGGCAATTTATCTTCGATACCAATTTTAATAAAGAAATCGGTCACGCATGAACGTAATGTTTGGTGTTTCAGGATCCTTGAAGGCCATAAATTGAGTTATGACCATAGACTATCGCAGAAAGTGGTTTAGTGCACCTGCCTCTTTCCAGCAAAGAAGGGGGGGGGGGGGGGGTGGTGATCTCAGCGCATTATGGAATCGTAATCTAAATGTACTCGTAAATCTCGACCAAAAACGAATGGAACCTGCGAGGAAGCCAAGTATGAGAAAATCGCTTTTCGGTAATGCAAACGAGTGTTGTCCAACTGCAGATCTACAAGCCAGCTGCTGCTGTCCGTAGTCCTGTCATCTGGTGCAAAGGAATAGCGCCTTGTAGCTGGAGTGCTCATTTTGGCACCAACCTTGAACAAGCAACCCTCCAACAAGCTTCCAACTAACAAAATGTAAGAAACGTGACATATTCACATTCCAAACACAAATTCCCGTCGTAACTGTCAGCCTCTCAAGCACTGAAGCAGCTCTGGATAGACCGGTTGCAACAAAACTGGTGGCTAAAAATATTTGACACACTTCCGTAATTAGAACTTTTCACGAACCCAAGAAACCGACAAATTTATCAGATTGGCATATACCACATTACAAAAATGTTTGGCCTACGACATTCATTCTCCTGACCAACATAAGCTGGTAGAGTAACCATCTTCTTAGTCATCAGCCTTTGAACTCTAAACACAAAAATCTGTTGTTCTACAAAATTCAACTAAGAATTGTTTTATCTACTTCAGTGTGCAGTTGGGATGCATCCGTCGTAGCGCAGCCAGATTCCTGCCGTTTGATAGTGGGCACATCTACTGCAGAAGCAAGAAAAGAGTTGCCGGTCTTTTCATTTATTTGGTTCATAGGTAACTGATTCATTTTCCCTTTTCTCCCAAAGCTACCGCCTTTGCCAGTGTGCTTCGTGTATATTAATAGCACGCCGCTTTGGCAGCATACTTCTGGACAGAGCTACTCATTTTATCTCTGCACCGAGCCGCGCCAGCTGCTCGAGGAACTGCGCTGCACTGGTAAGTTGCGTGCAGCCATACACCACCTTTTTTGACTTGCCCCGGGTGTAATCTACCAAATTTTGGTACTCTATGTAGTTGCCACCGCCAACAACGAAGACGACGGCTTCCTGGAATGGTGCTTGTGCCCGAGCCTCTGCTCGTCCCAGCAGCTTGGGATCCAGGTAGCGGTAGTCATCGGTCTCCGGCAGCGACTTGAGCTCCATCAGAGCGTCCAGCAACCGGGTGATGGGCAGTTTGTGCTTTTTCACTACCAAGTTTTTGACGCCCTCCATGACAAACTGGGAGCCCTGGCTCATGAGCTTCGAGAACATGCCCACTGTGCGAGGGCCGCCGCCGTAAGAGCCCAAGGGCTGCGGAGCCGTGACGCGAGCATAGTCCTTCCATCGACGCAGGTAGCGCAGAGGCCGCAGGTCGCAGCCCGCTCTCTCCAACGCCTCTTCGTATTCGAGCGCTCCATCCAAACCAAGCACGTAAGCCATGAGGAACACGCGCAGCTTGTCCTCAGGCATTCCAGCTTCAGGGTCGTTGATGAGGTCCAACAGAGAACGGTCGAGTGCCTGCCGCCCAAGCAGCTTCTCCTCAGTCTCAAAGTAGAGATCAAGCTTACGGGCCTTGATGTGCTCCAAAATGGCCGTCGCAATGCTCGTGTGCATGTCAATGAGCCGCTTGCGTTCAAGCAGCTCAGGCAATGAGCTGACGGCCGAAGTCAGCTTTGCCGTGTTGTCAGACAGCATTGTCATCGCTTCGTCCGTGCGGTCCCCTTCGAGGCCCATTGCGGCCTTGAGCTTCTTCACCTCGTCCTCCTGAGCGCGGTATGCTTCCAGCTCCTCTTGTACCGCTTCAGCCACCGTCGGGAAAGGACTGCCCTTGTGTTGCTGCCAGAACTTGTCGGCTTGAGTCAGATCGAAGGTTTTATTATTTTTGCGCGGCCTGGCACCTACATGCTCCGAGGACGGCAGTGAGGATGAAGCTTCTTCCAGGGAAACCCGGTTTAAGTTCAAATCGAGGACATCGTGAGTGAGGGCCTGGTAGGTCCAGGTGTGGTGCAGCGGCGTCGCCATGTCCATGTTACGATCAAGGACCACAAGGAGTGGCCTCTGGAAGCTGAACTGGCCGCCCACATGTGCGGTGTCCAGGAACAGGCTGTTTCGAGAATCGCGCAAGTTCTCGCGCATCCTTTTGTCCAACTTCTCGGCCACCATCTCGGCGGCGTTGCCCTTGGGACTGCGGATGATGGGCACTGTGCCCAGAGTGGCAAACACCGAAAAGAGACAGTCGACGATATTATCCATGATGCTGTCGATCTCGGTGTCCTTCACGTCGCCCCTGTTGATGGCGTAGTAGGACACCGCGTCCCGATCGTTGTGCTTCAACAAGAACAGGTCGTTTTCCAGGGTGATGAAGTTGAGGTATTGGTCGAACACCTTGGAGACGTTGGCAACGCAGTTCGCCTGCAGCGCCGCCGATGCCAGGTCCTCTAGGTGCTGTCGTGATACGGGCGACACGAAATTGAGGTAATACTGGTCGTACAGTTCATTGCGAAAGTCCTGGGATATTCGCGTGACGTTCTCGGCAGTCGGTGCGACGAAGTAGATCGCTGGTACCTCTGGAATGGGATCTCTGTCGGAGTGCAACAGCATGTGAAGCGTCATGCCCATGTCCCGCAGCTCCTTCACAGATAACAGCGGCGATATGATGTCCTGTCCGCACCGGTCGTACACTAGAAGCTTCCAGACCGGCTCAGCAAAGGCTCCTTTTGTCTGAGGAACATTGAAGTTCAGCATCTGCTTCAGAGCAGCGATCTGCTTCTCACGTATGTTCAGAGACATTATGAAAGCGACAACGGGCCGTACACTTCGTTTGACTGTTTAGTGTGAGCACTGCGCTCACATTCTACGAGGCACTCACCAACTCAATATTTACTTCAAGACACGTTTCAGGAAATCGCCGCAGAGTTCTCGGCAAGAGCCACCGAACCACCCATGAAACAAGCCGTGACGTTGCTTATCGTCGATGTCGTCAGCGCTGAAGCTTGACATTTCGCATCGAGTCTGAGGTTGGCGGCCCGACATTATGCAACCGTGTCGAAAAAGAAATTATTAGACACTGTTAAGTTAAACAACGTAAACTTCTAACATTAACCATAAACCAATTTTAAATTAGAATTAAAGTACAAAATAAAAATTTTTGATATTGAAACCGAAACTACAAACGAAAAGAAGATTCAGTTTCGATCGGTCAGAAGAACGTTACTAAACTACTCAGTTAAAAAAAGTGCCATAAAAACTGCTCTGAAAAACTGGCACCGACCGTACCGAGCTAATGGCGATCACAACGCCGCCATTTCTACCGCAGCGGCCACTCGAGGAACTGCACGTATTTTGGCTTTAATAGGCCATTATGACGCCGAAACAGACACGGTAGGGAACTTACATACTCGCCGACTAGTCGGCGAGTATGTAGGCTCCCTAAGACACGGTGGACTGGGGTGCCATCCCCGTCTCCCCAGTGGACGCACCGCGAATTGCTACCAAAGCTAAGATGCACCTAGGTCGGGACGCGCTACCTGAAATCACCGCCGAGGCATGCTTGTATAAAAACAATATTAATTGTGCTGCAAAACCTTGCAAGCTAGAGCTTTTATAAAAAATCACACGCCTTTTGTTTTGTACTAAACTTCAATAAAAGTTGCTACAGAAAGAGTTTTTTCCCGTTGGTTTTTACGCAAAAACATGCATCCGAAAGTTCAAGGGGACCACAGTAAAGACAAATGATAAAGGGTGGCGCTGTTGTCATATTTAGCTCGGTCTCGGTGGACGCCAGCGGCCCATGTTTCAACGGCGAGTTTCCCAACTGAGGGTTCTAGTAACGTTGGACATAATGTCCGTCTCCTGAAATTTAGCCCTATACCTCCTCGTACTCCAAACTCCCGTTCTCGCCTCAAGCACCTAGTAAAGATTCTCAGTGAATAATTGTCACATTTCCTTTCTTATGTCCTGTTCACGTTAGACCTGATTTTTCCTGCCTTCTTACCTCCTACACTTTTCTTTCTGCCTCTTTCACTCCCTTTTCCACTGAATTAGTCTGCTCAGCCCGGTACGGCGTCGGTGCAGTTGTCGACATTACACCAGTAGAGTAAGTGGCACACTGTTTGCTGCTGCCATACTACATGCACTTCAACAGTGAAACTTACCATGCTAGGCTGTTTTAGTTAATAGCATATGGCCTCATTATGCACCCACCAAAATACACATATAAATAACTATAAACGAATTACACATCCCCATTCCACAAAAAAATGCAAATAAAATGAAATTATTTACATTTTGTGTGATTGTTTAGAATATGCAAGATAATGTCTTCATCGAAGGTGGACAACTGCAAAACACCCTGTCCACCCCTCACTTCGTTTGCAGTCTCATGCTCATCCGCCGACTCATTCAATCAAGAGCAGAGTGCACTGCGATTTTGTGCTACGTGCGTCTTCTAGGCATTGTTGGGTGAAGTTAATTTAAAAAGCACTTTAAGTACGAGTATGAGGGGTTGTGTACTTCAAGTAGCAAGTACACCATACCACGTACCTGAAGTAAGCTACATATATAAACACACAATCTTTCATAATGACCCTTCATTCCCCTCCCCCAGCACAGCATATCTGAGGACCTCACTACCTCAAAATTTCTTGAAATCACTGTTACGAGCTTAGCTGCCTTTGTAACATCAAATAAACCAAGCAAAAACACAGAGGCTGGAAAGTGGGTCTAGTTGGAATCCGTTCAAAATAGAAACAGTGCAGATCAAATGAGAACGGAGGTAGTGGACGTCACTTGGTCCTATTTGTCCTCCTCCTTCGCCCTCATCTAATCTGTGCAGTTTCTACCATGATCGTAAAGATGTTTAATCGGTACTGTGCCTCTTGCTTCATCTGGCTTATACAAAAGAAAGATCAGAACCAATAATCTGCCGAAGTTACTTATCCGTGAAGAGGTGCACATGGTTCATAACACCACCGTCTGTAAAAGTCAAATCGCCCTTCCCCAGTCATCAAGAAAAAAGACAGGACAATGAGTTAACTGTACGCCCATAAAATACAGCAATTTTATTATACACGGCTGCTATACACAACAGTCTCAGTAACAAATGGCATACAAACAAAAGACAAAACAGTGACCCCCATCCCAACTCCTGCGTGTGCCCCACGAAGGCACCGATTCCAATAAAGCATCCATTTCCCATCAAACATTGCTCCGGCAGTTACAGCACATTGTGTCAGCTTTCAGTGGAATGCTACACTCTACTTGGCACAAGAGCATCAAATGGCTTCCCCCCCCCCCCCCCCCCCCCCTCCCTGTTAACCACTCAAAATCGAGTCCCAGCAGTAAAGAGTACTCTGGCAGTGCCGGGCAACCCTTGTGGGCTGCTGCTAGTTGTTGTTGTAGCCGGCGGCAGCCACCAGTGGCACCGCCTTGGCCTTGGCAAGCTCCGTGGCCAGCTTGGAACGAAGCCACTCTTTGTCTGCGGGATGGGTCCCTGGAAACATGCGCTCCAGGACGTAGGCAAAGCCTTTGGAGGCCTTGGCCGCATTCTGTTTGAAGCGCTCCACACCAAATGCTTGGATGGCGCACGAGAAGCCCAGGATGGAAGAGGAAACCCAGGCTCTGCGCTCCACCACCGTGTGCTTCGGGTTGTCTGGAGCCGGCCGGTAGACACACTTCTCTTCGATTGACTGTGGGGAGCAGACAACAAATGCCACGGTGTCAACCGGGCGGTTCAGGCACAAGGCCCTTTCGAGAGGGTGCATGACCATAGAGAAGAGTCTACTGGTGCTGGCTTCTACTGGTGCTGGTGTCACAAGGGCAAGGGTATAGGGTACTCTGACAATTCATAAGAAACAACAAAAGATTGATACATTGCTGAAAGAATAAATACAGGGACGGACACGACGACACACGGAAGACACATTGTGTCCGTCTCCATGTTTATCCTTTCACTACCATATAATTTCATCAATGTGCTAACCTTCTAAATAAAAAAAAAAACCACAGCAACAACAATAGAACTTACAATAATAATTCATGTTAACTTTATTCTCCCATTTCTTGGTACTGACAGGACCATTTTCCACTGAGGGCAATAACAAAGAATGTCGGAAGGACAGAGGTCATGTTTGCCGCCTGTTTCTGAAAGGAACTTCCCGTCTTCAAGTTGACTTTAAAGCAAGCATAATTATGCTGCAAGTAATAGCTGAAAATGCAGCAGACTAAGAACTCCTACCAGCTTGTTCTTGATACTGACTGAAAATATTGGAAACTTGCCAGCTTTCTAATGGCTCCACGCTGATGTTTGTTAATGGTAGATGGTGCTTATTTCCATTGTAGAATGTGACACTATTTCCCCCCATCCCTCTCACACATACGTGAAAAATGCAAGGGAATGGAGGTCCAGCAAAGACAGGGGTGCATTCTGATAGACAAAATAAAGCTGTAAGAGAACTTGAGTTGATGACAACTAGACTACATCCCAGCTGCGCTAGCAGCAATTGAATTACTTTTCTGGGATAACTTTTACGGCCCAGAGAGTCTTGGAACCACCACTCACCATGATGTGTTGGAGACCTATGTTGCGTGTGTAGGTGACCAGAGTTCGGCTACGAGGGTCCACAACCGACTCTTCGACGATGCGCACCGACTTGGTGCCCACAAACCGCTCCCCCCACTTCGGCAGCCGGTTCATCGGGTTGGTCTTTGTGAGGAGGCGCTTTGTGAACAGTTTACCGCCCTCCACATAGCGGCTGACGATGTCTTCCGTCAGGACATGAGTGCTGAAAGGGAAGAGGGCAGGTGTGCACCCCAATGCTGCACTTCGAGGCTAAATTCAATGGTGGGATGAGGCCCAGTTTCACCGTACTTTTACTCTGACTAACAGAACTCAGAATACTCTTCCTGCTCATCAAGCATGGAACATATGTGGGCTGTTGTTCACATACGCTTTTTATTTTAAGTGACTATTTACAGGGACCACATTACTCTTTCCTTGTCAATTACCGTTTTTCTGCGGGTGGATATGATGCGTGCACTGTCACCCCTCAACAATATTGAGGAAAAAGGATTACCTATTAGCAATAATCAACTATATACTGGTCCATTTGAAGGGGGCCAACAATGTTTTGGATTATTTTGAACTGCACAAATAAAGGAAAGTCAGTATGCAATCAAGCATGTCTCATTGTGTAATAGACAAAAAAAAAAGAAAAAAAAAACCTAGTAAAGAAAAGAAAAAGTATACACTCGAGTCACTTCAATTAGAGCAGGTGTTCTTTCTGCTGCACATGTACATGCATCTATTGTGTCAGCAGATGGCACAAGAGCCCAGAACACTGTACTGGTGATGCCCCCTAATTAGCTGGCCTCAATCCCGCGAGTATACTGCCAGTAATAAGTATTTGCGGACTATTCCTCGGCAGCTGCCGGTAATATATCCAAATGTATATTTTTGCCGGCGGCCAGCAATGCAGTGCCAAAAAACATATGCCATCAGTATCTTGTCATTTGCTGGCTACTGTCAAGTGAGAATATGGGTTTCACTTTATAAATAGCAAATGGCATTATAAATGCATCCTCATGCTGGCAGTGGGATTGTTAACAGCACAAACTTGGCTACATCTGTAACACAGGCACACTGCAAAAATTGGTACAATGCACACGGCTTCCCTCCTTGTACAACACACATTTGGCAGCATGCAATGCCAGGAGGTGAATGGTTTGTACACAGGGGTGGGAAAATCTTCAAAGTTTCGAATATAAATCAAATAATACAAATCCAATATTTGTATTCGATTGGTAAACTAAGCCTTCAGTATTTTTAGAATATTCGACATGCTACCAATATTCGAAACTTGCCAAATATTTCAGAATGCACTTGCAAGCACTAGTTTTGCTTTCGAGTCAGGTGAGCAAGGCTCAGTGACACAGATATAACAGCTTCGCGCTCAGATCATGCTATTGGCAATGTTGTAATCTGTGGCTCTAGTTTACGTTCCTTCATGAAAATTTAATCTTCAAGCTAAATTATTCAATTACATAGAGTTGTGCATCCGGTGTTGCACTACGTTGATGCCGCAAACTGTTGCTGCAAAGTGGCGAGAACAGGGGGGGAGGGGCGGGGGCAAGTAGGTTAACTCGTGTCCCAGTGATTCACTGCAACGGAATGTCCTTACAGCGTGCTATTCGCATAACGAGTGTTGATGAAATGTGTGTCCATAAAACATGTATCCAGAATAAGTTGTCCATGAAACGTGTTCCCCTGAAATGCCGAAAGAATAAGAAAGTCGGTATTCTACAGGCAGTTGTTACATAATTTCAGACAGTCAATGCAAGGAGACTTCCGGTAGAATTTCGGGGAAATTATTCTCCCAGCTGCCGGGAGAATAGATACTGCCTTATTTTAACCCAGCCCACGGGAGTTCATTTATTTATTTATTTATAATACCCTCAAGGCCGTGAGGCGTTAGAGAGGGGAGTGGGTATTACAATATTGCTGAATCACTTCGCGAAATGCGGCGGAGTCCTCGATGGCTGCGATGTCACCGGGAAGGCCATTCCAGTCCACAATTGCGTCGTAATTATAACTATTCGTATGCGATTCATATTTCAAAAATTTAATACTTTCACACCCCTATTCTTTAATGTAAAAATGATGGCAGACATTGCTAATTTTGGGGTGAGTCTGCGGAATTCAAAACGACAAAAGGAACTGCAACTGCTTGCAGTGGAAAAAGGGGCAGATGGGGGGCAGGGATATCTGGGCAAGGCATGCGCCGAAAAACTGTCTGCTAGCTTTGACGCGACTGTAGCCAGCCAATGAGGGGCATTACGAGCACATCAATTCGGCCTGCTCTGCTTGCTCCGAAACTTGCTAGCAACAAGTTGAAACACGCCCCGACCACTTCGTAACGGCGAAGCCATGACGCTCCAGGAAGTCGAATAAAAAATATTCTCGGAGAAACGAGCACGATTACGGTGTGCGAAGGTCAAGACTGAACCAGAAAGCGCCCTTGGCGCCCCCTCTCCAGTTCTGTTCGGACGGGCGAATGGTCGCACGCACCGGCCTTTGTGAGCTACAGCGCAACTTCGGCTCTTACCTGTACGGGTTGGGGTACCTGGCCCAGAAGCCCTGCGCCACTTGGTCCCAGGTGAACTTGAACGTGTCCCTCCGCTCGTAGAACTTCACCATAGCGCTTGAAGTAGAGGACAAAACAGACCGGTAAGGTTCACTCGGCGACCTCGTCACGTCCGACGATACAGTTGTCGCACGCAGAGTTGCCTCCTAGCAAGGCCTTTCTCCGACCCGTTCGTAGCGCACCGATTTCCCACCGACTCCCGATGGCAAGGTATCGCTACACCCGAGCCAAAACAGACGTGAACATCGCCCTCGCCGACATGGCGACGGACCAGACGTGCAACCTTGTACAATTCGCTCGTGGGAGACTAAAGCAGACAGATTACTTACTCGGCGGGATGTCTGCACGTTCGCACACGCGAAAGTACCAAGTTAATCGAGGGAAGTTAAAAATTTAATTCGAGAAACCGAATACATCGTACCCCTCGCCGATCTTCCCTCATGGGACACTCGCACGCACACACACAGCACACCTTGCCAGCACTTGCTTGCACTGCTTGCGTGCCGCTCTAGGCTGCTCTAGCATGGAGGTGTGGATAAATGAACGCCGGCTGGATGCATTGAGTCGGGCGGTGGGCTGCGCCACCTGTGTTGTGTTTGTACATAGATACTACTGATAGCGGCGGTACACGACCATTCAGCCACTTGATTTCACAGTGCTCTCTTCATTTTATTTTGAAATCTCATTTTATTTTTTGGTCCTTCGCTATTTCGGCTGGCTTCTAAAATAATTTTTTTTTAAACTCTTTTAACGGCCGTGAACGCCGTGAGTGGACTTTGAGGGAAACTAAAGACGTAGTACCATGGCCTCCGAGACCCCGGAGATCCCGAAGCGCGCGAGCGGCGCGCGAGCGCTTCTCCGACCGTCCCATAGGGTATTCGCTGGCGGCCATAGCTGTGTGCGCGATTGGCGAGCTCGTGCTGATGGCGAACTTCCACAGTTATTTTGCAACGTGCACTCCACACCGTCAAGGTTGCCGGTCTTAACAGCTTATTAACGTGAGCTCATTCTGAGCATGCGCTCTAAACAGCACCCACAAATATGGCATCCAGTGAATAGGCCCTATTCGTGCGAAAGGGCGCAATCAGAAAAAAAAAAAAAAAAGAAGGAGGCGGCTTTTCTCCGCGTGGAGGTGCCAGAGGTGCTCCCTAGAGCCACTAAATAAGCGTAGCTTATTTAGTGGCACTAGTGCTCCCAACCCAGTCATCGACAGCATGGGAGCATGGTGCGAGGCAGAAGGGTTAAGAAAAAGTCTTGTTACGTCGAGTTACTGCAACTTCTATTTACAAATTTTTGTGTATTGCGGCAGAACGGTGAAACAGCTGCTCTGGGGACTTAGATAGACAAGTTGTGATGCTTATTGAATTACTTAATTTGAGATATTCATCTGGACATTTGCGGCTAGCTCTACAAGCGCGCCTTTTGATACATTTGTCTGCAATCTGTAGCGCGTATAAAACTCCAGAAAAAAATTAGCTCCGTACATAAAAAAATTCGGATTTCCCTAAATAAAAATAATCATGCTGCATATATGTTTTTGTTCTTTATCGCCGCACGTTGTTTGGCGTAGCTTCTTGAGCCTGAGCACGAGGTTTTGCAAGTGACGTCACGCAAGGGAAGGACGGGGCCTCGCAGTACAGTGCCTCGCACCATACTGGTGGTTGACTTCACACCGCGCGGGTGCGCTTATCAAGGCGTAGGATGCCGCTAACATGCACCATATTTGCAACAAAAATACCGTGAAGTTAGAAAAACGTGCTGAGCTTACGATGATAACGTTTATTCAGTACGTGCGGAATTTTTCGTCACTGGTGCGATTGCGCTATACTCCGTTCCACATTATGTTGTACCGCAGCGAAGGCTAGAAGCGCGAGCTCATAACGTTGGCAGCTGTTTTTAGTGCACGAGAGCTTGTGCCGCCGAGATGTGCCCCAGAGTAAGGAGCTCGCGCTTGTAGCCTTTCCTGCGGTACACCATAAGGTGAGCAATAGTTTCGGAATTCCGCCGACAAAGTTTTGACGCGAAGGGCTGCCGTGTCGCCAAAAAAAGAAAAAAAGCTTAATTGCGCGCTTCATAATTTGACGAGCGGCTCTAGAAGTCGCTTGTAGAAAAATTGTTACGATTTTGCGAAATACTGGTAAGAGACAAGGATAAATTATAAATCAAATAACGGACAAGGCAACTCTCATTGTCTCAGGGTTTATATTATGATGTTTCGTAACCGGCTCGCCTGCATACTTTCGCGCCTTGCAATACCGGCTCGCGGACGGCACAAACCGATGACCCGGCGGCGGCGGCTCGGCGAGCTTGCACACGGGGGCCGCCGCCGACCGATCGCCGTCGGGACGGGCTCGCGGCGCGACACTCGCCCGGATTCGGCCGGGAGCCCCGAAGGTGCGTTCGAAGCGTGGAAACGGCGTTATGTAACGAAGGCCACGAACGAGCAAAAGCCGATGCAAAGGCGAGCGCGAACGTAAACAACGGTGGAAAAGTGCCGTCGTTCGCCGCTATGAAATGCGTCCCGCAAACTCGAAAATCCGCGGCCGCATCCCTTTCCTGCCGCTCGTACTTTCAACTTGACGGCTACTCTGTCTCGCGGGGCATGCCGACGAAACGATCGGACGATCGTCGGGATACGGGGTAATTGCTACAGCCGAGTGCGGCGCAGTTTACCATTGCTCTCGCTGCGAAGGGCCGTAAAGTCAACCACCAGCATGGTAGATAGCGGTGTTCGACGTCATCATGCGACGTATGTGCAAGGCATGTATATTGGGGAGGAGATCGAACAGGTCACGCCACTAGCGGCATGCTGCAGCTGTGTGGACAAAAACCTAATTTTATTGTTTGTTGTTGATCAGAGAAATCGAAGATGACGATTCAAAGGCCGCTCCTCGTGCGTCCAAAGCACTGGTCAAAGCGAAGCGCTCGTGCCCAGACGATGCTAGGTTGCTGTGTTAGTAAACACCGCGCTGTGTGGACAAGAAGCTCGATAAAACGCCCCCTATAGATCGATCTTCTGCCCAATAGTGAAGTCCGTGGTGACGTTCTCTTAATATTTTTAATATTTATTACGCAATTTTTGCGGGTCGTATCGCGGTGTCTGCTTCTACTAGAAGTACCTTAAAAGACAGTCTGCAGATATCAGCCACCACGATGTCCGTGGTTCAAATGCCGCGTGCCAATTGTCTCCTTGAAGTTTGAGCTCGTTGCCGTGCGGCATTCGAAGCTCAGATCTCGTGGTGACTCGCGTTTGAATCTGTTTACAGACTGTCGTTTGTATGATATTATAAGCTTTGGGGAAAAACTTATGATGGTGAGATACGGCCACCTCGCAATGCATGATTTCGCAGCACAGACCACCGTATCCCGCTATGCACATTTTGATGTAACTTAAATGCAAACAAACAATCGGATCTCAAGAAAAAGAACTCAGGTTTATTTATAAATTCCAACCTTATTCCAACCCAGGGGCGGATCCAGAACTCCGTTTCTTTTTTTTTTTTTTTTTGGGGGGGGGGGGGGGGGCGGAAAATTTGTAAAGATACTATTCTCCCATTCTTTCTTGTGCACCGGGGGGTCCACCCATGGCAAATTGCCCTCCGAGAAGGGGAGAGGGGGGGGGGGGGGGGGTCGACTTTATTTGGGGTGGGGGGGCGGTCAACCCCGTCGTCCCCCCTTGGATCCGCCCCTGTTCCAACCTGGTATATTTGCAGATTCCAACCCTTGAAGTTTTAGGTTAGACGCGCAGTATAATTTGCGATGCAATGGCTTCAAGCAGTTTCTTTCGATACACTACCCTGTCTGTCATAGTCATGCCTGTTTACCAGAAATGGCCGTACACACTTCTCTATTACAATCCTTGAATTTTTTTGTCTGCAGGCCTAGGCAGCTTGTTAAGAAAAATCATCCCGATTTTCCTTTCCTGTGAGTCTGTGACCAAACCCGCACGGAAAGGACGCAAAAACAAAAATGACAAGCAGCAGTAAACAAAACCACGTGTCACAGTTGTAAAGGAAGGGAAACGTCGCGACGGGTTTCGACAAAAGACGGAGTTCTAAATAAGCCACTCTCGCTGCGTACAACCGTTAAAAAAAAAGGGAGAAAAAAAAAAAAAAAAACGTTTTTTGCAGTGGTCTGCGAGAAATTGTTGAGGAAAAGTACCCCTCAGGGGAACATCTTCACCCATATTGGGGATGCAAGGATTTGTACGCACAGGTGGTTTACGCCGGCGAAGGTGTGCATTGTGTAGGCGCGTGTGTGTGCGTGTTGGTGGTGAGAAATGTTGGTATGATTGCGGCGCCAACATGCACGCACACACACGTGCTTTGTCATCTGTTTATCCCCCACTGTGGCTCCTCTCCCAACCCCCGAACAAAGCTTCCAAAGAACATGCCGCTAAAAAAAGAAAAAAAAAAAGTTATGGCCGGGTTGGCTCGCTTTGGCCCTCTTGCAGACTTGAATGCAAGGCCCCTGCCCGGTCCGGGCCCTTCATGAATGTAGCCGTGAAGCCCGAGCCCGGCCCGCGGGGCGGGCCGGCCCGTGGCCTGCGGTCTGGCCCGTACCAGTGCACATCTAAAGACCTTTTCATCCCCCTCCGCATGGGCGCTGCCATCTTGGAATCACGTGACGCGGCAGCCATTAGGTTGCTTCAACTTGCTGCTCCGCTCTCCCCTCCGCGCCTTGGCGGATGCGTTCTATTCGTGTTTTTCGTCGCGTTTCACCGCGCTTGCTTGCCTTACTTCGGAAACTGTAGTTCGATACGTCTGCTCGACGACTGCTGAGGTTTGTTTACTAATAGTGGCGGAACATTCTCAGTAAAAGCGCGTATATTTATATCGCGCATTTAGGATCGCAAGGCGTCAAGAATAGTCAGCACAAAGAGACTATCTGTATTTCCTGAAAGTATCGTTCTTTGTATCCATAATATATCGAAAACAGTTTCTTTTGATTATGTGAGGAAACTCGCGGAGGAGATAGACAACGAACGCTTAACTTGTATTTTATCTGAGGCTAAAAGTAAAGGTACGTCAACATCAGGAGATTTGTTTGTTCA